ATACAATGTAATAAACACTAGCATAAACTGAGGAATTTATAAACTAATTGCATATTATTAATAAAACCCCAAAACATCAGAGAAACACTTGTCTCTGGTTTGGTTATTCTCTAGTAAATAATCAAAAGACAACAAAGAAATCATCATGTTGCATGATATACAGTATGAATTTTCCATCAAGGGCTGTATATGCGTATGTTCACTGTAGGTGTTCCTGCACACAATTACTTGGGGCAAATACATTTTCCTTCGTACCAGGGAGGCTGCACTCTTGCTCCTTTCTCCCCTTCTCTGCTGAACTAATGGTGGAGCATGATCCAAAGCACTTCCTCTGCGCAGGTGAGTCAGAATTTCTGTGTAGTTCAACACGCTCTGGAATTGTCTTTGCGGTTTTACAATTGTAGTTGTTTTGGAATAACCTTTTTACCCCTTTGGCCTCTTTTGACATGCCCTGTTAAGCCTGGATAGATGGATGAGGATGTGCTAAACTGTTTTAACAAATAATATTTTGGTGCTGCTTGGAAATGCAGAGAAAACATGATACTTTCAGACAGCAGCAAGGAACTACACTAGACTCATTAGCAACAATACTGGGAGTGGTGAAAAGGTATGAAATACTATTTGTTTTTTCCAGTGTATTGTTTGGAGGGATAATACAGCAGTTGTGCTGGTTAGTGGATCCAAATGTAACAAAACAATTTCTAGTCAAAGTATTCATCTGTGTACATTAAAAGGCACAGCTGTATGTCTCCATACAGGCTCAGCTGTATGGCTGTATCTAATTAGAATATACATTTGATCTGTACATATAACAGTTTAATCTTTAATTTTGTAAACTCTGATACCATGCTTTGATTTTCTTTGTATGTTCCGTAAGATAGAAACAGCATAAGAGAAAATCTTTGGCTTCTGACCTAATGCACTTATTGCTAGGATGAAGGTATATGTTACTGATACTTACACATACACATGTACTTCTATACAGCTCTTCTAGCCCTATTGTTGGAAAATTTTACCATGAGAACTGTTGAAGTAATAATACTCAACCTTTAGATTTCATGCTGAGTTCAACTGTGTAGAGATGTTAGTCGGAAATTAACTTTGTAGGTAAGGGAAGTGAAGCACACATGATGATAGGGTGAGCACCACTTGGGTATACTGGTGTGGAGCATTCTCTTCTGTTTGCTCTTCGGTGGTATGTTTCTAAACATCCTATTACAATACCAGTGGTCTGAAAAGTCAGCAGTAAAATGAGTTGATTTGAATGGGAGAACACCACCAGTAGTGCTAAAGTTATGCAAAAATTCCCTTTTCCAGTGAAGTGAAAATACAAAGTCTGTTTTGAGTTAGAGAAGTAGTTCCCACTTCTTGCTATGGGACTCATGAAGTACTTGTATTTTTTTTCTGACAGGTACTGGTGAAGAAACCACACCATAAGTTTAAAGTTTAATGTGATACATTACTTTTAAAATTCTACAGCGTCTCACTTCTCTTCAGAATCCATAAAATGGCAGCAATATCTTAACTTTCTCAACAGGCGTACAGGAAGAATGTAGTAAATTTTTCATATGAATGCTTACTTTGAATGGTGGCATTACTAAGTGTCACCAGTCAAAATCAACGTTCTAACTTACAACAGCATTGGAATTTTACTCAAATAATGTGTCTCAAGAAAAGGGATAACAGTTCAGGAACTATGGTGAATTGTTCAGTACATTGATGGGTGATCTCATAATCTGGTATCAATAGATCAGTAATTTACTGCCACATGATCTCTTCATCTTAGTGGGAAAGCTTTCCTGTTTTAACATTGCTGCAGTCACCATTAAGTTTTGTGTCACAAACCAAGTTTGAATTCAGCTGATGCTCAGCATTTTGGAATTCTTTGAGACAAGTTAATGGTGTGTATTAATGGCATTATAGTAAATGATAGGAAAGTAGTAGGAAGTTTTTCACACACACATGCCTCCCCTTATTTTGGTATTTTCAAAGACATGTATAGGTGGAATAGATTTTTGCATTCTTTTCTGTAATATTCATAAACTAAGTCATAGCATATAGACTGATTTTTAAAGCATTCCGGCAAAATACTGAAAGTCAGTGAGACAAGAACAGATTGCTGCATTAATTCTACAGTTGGGCCTGGAGGAGCCTCTGTGGAAAACCAGTTGGACTCAAACTATTAAAAATAAATAAAAAAGGCAAGAAGTAGTAAAGGATTTGAATCAGGTGCGATTACAAGTGCTTTGGAAGCTGCTTCTGTAGATTCCAAGTTGCCATCTCTTTTCAGTCTCAATATATCTTTACCCCACCCATGCACTGATATGATCCTCTATTCAACCTAGGCTTGGAACATTTGTACTACCTTCCAGGAAAAGAATTGTTTTTTTGCAGCTCCCTCTTATTCCTTTTGAGAAAAGGATTAAATAGTGCCTCTGACCAAACATACAGGCATGCTGAAGTGAAGCCACTTCATGCTCCTGGCCAAACAAAGAACAAAAATACCCACAATAAGCAAAAGCAGATGGCTTCAGTGGCAGGAAATGAATGAGCCAGACTGCAGGTAAAATAGTTCTCTGAGCACACTGCGGAGCTTTGTAATGACAGGTTCTTTGTTATCTGGGGCCTCCCCACAGGAGGCCAGATGTCTTCTGTTGTGAAAGGAGATAGATAGAGATGCTCTTCCTTTTCCTCCCCCTTTAACTTATGGCTGTTTAAGTTACTGCTAATGGAAGTAGAAGCCTGTTTACCTCCTTGCTCTCTGATGTTTTTGGAAACAGAAGAGATAGTTAGTGCAGGGGTATTCTGATATGAAAGAGAAGGCCCAGAACTGGCCTTTACCTCCCCATGACCTTCATTTTAAAGAACAGTGAGGTCAGTGCTGCTAATTGCACTTGAAAGGATTAACCACTTGATCGCTTTCATTTGGTGGAACAAAATTATTCTTCAATCTCAAAGCTGGAAAAATGTATCAACAGTTTTGAGACATTTTCAGTGTGAGGTGGAGGACTTGGCTGGTTTGGCTGCTTATACCAATACTGAAATTAAATAGAGGGTTTAAACATTTTTACATATGGGAGAGGAGGGAGAGCTACATCTGCTCAGAGCAGATCTGCAGCAGAAGTGACAATAACCTCCTTCCCGCCCTCACAAAAGGTTATCAGAGGAATATCAACAGACAATAATTAATGACAGATATTAGATGTGCCTCTGTCACTTGTGTAAGAATGACTCTTGCATTACACCGCAGTTGCACTGGAAGAAGAAGAATCTGAACCCAATTCTGGGACACAGTGTTCCAGATTTACAATCTTTTCTGTACGTTGATTTCACCTGAGAATTAAGACTAGTTTACTTTTGGGATAGATTCTTAGTTCCCATTGTTCAAATAAAGTGAGAGACACAAAACTTAAATTTGGAAACCATTCTTAACCTTGTGAAACTATTTTCCAAAAGTAACAAAGAACAGCTTATATAAGCTTTTATCTGACCTCTGCCTCTTAAATAAAAAAACATGTTTTCAGGGAAATGTGTCTTGGAAGTAACTCCCCCTCCTCCCCAGATTTTTCTCTCTGGTTCTTGTAAAACGTTAGGTCAGTGGGTTCATTTTATTTTTGTTTGTTTAAAGTGGGTGAAAGTTTCCTTCTCAAGCTATTGTACTTGTATGACTTAAAAAAAAAAATACAACAATCTTTGTTTAAGAAATACAAGAACAGATGGAAATGTCAAAAGACTATCAAAATTCATACCAAAGGAAATAGCATTAATCATTGTGGAAAGCTAAAATAGCCTCTCAATAGCAATAAGAACCAAATGAATAAGAAATGTGTTGCTTCAATAATAGAGACAGGACTGATGATTTTTCTCATTGCCTGGCACATGAACTCAATATGTATGTATATTTAAAAATGATGTTTCTCATTCTGACTTCAAGCCTGTGTTTCTCATGCTGCTGTTACAGTTCCCGCACATTTCACACACATATGTGTAACTTTTTGTAAATGGAACTGTGTTTTGGTTGTCCACTGAAATGCATTTTTATATGCATTCGTGAAGATAGGTATGACTTGCAGAGAGTGTATTTGTATGTTCTGTTTTAAACAATTAAAGAATCCTAGAATAGCATGGGTTGGAAGGGACATTATTCAAAGGTCATCTAGTTCAACCCCCCTGCAATAAGCATGGACATCTTCAACTAGATTAAGCTGCCCAACTGTTAATACTGCAGTATTAACTTTGATTTCAGTATCTTGAAGCATTAAAAAATCTCCTACAAATCTTTTGTTTGAGCCTGTATAAGCTGTGTCAGCATAAGATTTTCTGGTGCTATTTTTCAAGGCATTGTTTCTATGATCACAAGGGTGTGACAGGGCCCTCTTGGGGTACAGCTGATAAGCTAGGGCAATTTTTTGAGGAAAATACGCAACAAACTTCAAATTTCTTGTTTAAGGCATTATCTATTATCATTTTTCTGTGTCACTTTGACAAGATTTAGTGTTTTCTTAAGGAACGTGCTTCTGAGAATATTCATAAATATTTATCCATCTTACATTGTACCTCTAATGAAACATTCTTTTTTTGTCTTAAGACTGTAATTTTTACCAACTTGATTTTTTCTGGCAGAACATCCTAGCGTGATACAAATATATTCGTATAACTGCTTGTAAAGATACAGCTTAGGACTATTACCTCTGCCAGCATCAGCTACATGGTATAGCTTGGCAAAGTCACCCTTCTATAATTACATTCACATGTGATGACTCTGCCAGCAGTGCTACATATACCATCAAAACTTCCATCAGCATCAGACAATGTCTTATTTAGCTGTTCAAATTTGCACTATTACTGCAAAAGAAAAACACAGCAGATGGATAGTCTGCCTAAATTAAGGATGTCTTGTCGGAATTGTTGTAGGCAGAACAAGTATCTTCCCTACATTTTGTCTCTGCAAATTAATTTATCTTGAGTCCTGCAAAAATATCTGTTTCCAGACAAAAGTATGTGGCATCTGTAAAATTTTACTGTTCATGATATGCCACTGTGACATTTAAGTTAATGTTGCACAAAATGATAGTAACGAAAAAATTCTCCAGAAAGTATGTGAATGGTACTACAGAAATCATACACTATATAATGTTTAAAGAGAGCATTCTTTTCTATTACTAGGACAATTTTCCAGAGTTAGTCTCAAAAATACATAATTTATATTCTAGTCACTTAATGTGGTTTTTCATTTTGTATTGGCACACCCCCAGTTAAATACTATCCTAACAATTTCACTCAGCTTTTCATGTCATGAAAGTGAAATCAGTTTTACTGCATAAACCACAATGAAAATACCTGAAATAAAGTATTAATAACAATAAAAAGCTACCATGCTAATTGCTTTTCACAGTTAAGAGACATGACTCCTTATGGCAAGAGGGGCCAAGTCCTCCTATCCCCACCTCAGGAAATAATCTCACTGTGATGACACAACACTTAGCAAAGCCTGACTGGTTTCAAAGGAGTAATTCTTATCAGACTGCTCATCAGAGTAGTTCTACAACCTCAAGTGTAAAGGACATAAAATCTGTAGCTTACTTTCGGACAAATGCTTAACCATTATTAAGAGTACAGTCTATTTCCAGATTACATTTGTGCAGTTTATAATCATAAAAGAAATTAAATATAATGTAACTTACCTATAGATAGACATCTTACTCTTTTCCTGCACAACACTTGGCATTTTTAATCAATGTGTACATAAATGAAAAGAAAAAAAGCAGATTATCATATTGTCCTTTGTAGTTCTCTTTCAAAATCTCCTGATGATAGTCTACAAGGAAATAATAAATTGCTTCTATTGTGGAAAGGTATGTATCTGGCTTCCCCTTCTGATGACGCCAAAAGCAAGTTTTCCTTGTCTTCAACTCAATTTGCAGCAACCCTGTCAAGAAAAAAAGATGACATAGATTAGACAATGTGGATTGGTGGATGGGATGCCAAACAAGTTTTAAGTTTTGTTTTCTGACTTTGCTGTGAGCCTGCTCGATGCCTGCATGCATATAACTTCTCTTCCAGTACCTCAATTTCTTTTCTGTGAAATGGAGGCAGTAATTTTATTTTCCTTTGTGTACCACTTCGAAATTTGATGCGAAGGTGCTGTAAAGGCTAGTTTACAGTCCTCATCTCCAATTAAATTTGTAGGTTAATCCTCTCATTCATACAGGTTCATAGCCTTCAGCAAACTGCGTGGTCTGTTCAGATGGGAAGAGTGAAAACCACATATACAAAGTCTCATCAGTGTTCATAAAATTAATAAACTTCACTGTTTGCAATGCTAATAGCTTTCAGTGGAAAACAGAATGCCTCAGTTTTGCTGAACTGAGGAATATTTTGTAAGAGCTAGACACTTTTCATTTGTTCAAGTGACTGAAATCTCACAGGGATTACTCGGGAGTAAGTATAAGAGAATTTGGTCATTAATTTTATTAGAAACTAAAAGCATTCCCACTTGAGATGAAAGAACGAAATTTGGTCTCTGTATGGCACATGGAAATCTTTTATCTACTATAGTCTCTTAACTGTTTTATTATTCCGATGGATTTTAAATGTCTATCTTGTTTTTTATGTTCCTTAAGAAGCACACATTTAAATTCACCTTAATGTGTAATCACTTTGTAAACAGGATGGACAGCTGCATTATAAGAAACAGTTTATATACCCATCAAGGTGTATACCAGCATCAGCTTGTAAAGTTATTTCTTTCTGAACTGTTAAAATCAGATACTAAGTGTGCGTCATGGGACGGTTTATTAAAAGTAAAAGTAACTATGGTCTTAGGATTGCTTGGAAGTTACAAAGAAGTTTCAGTAAGATCCAAATTCAGGAGTGCAAACTGGCCTATAGCCCAGCACTTGTAATTCTGTACTTTTTACCTTCAAACTACATTTAATTCTTTCTAGTGAAATTGCAAGATGGATTTAGTTGTTTCCTTTGCAGTTAGGAATGTATGATATCTTGCATAGTAAAAGAAATTTCTCCAACAGCATTTAGGAAAAAAAAGAACAACCTAAACAGGAGATTCCATCATTGAATTTAAATGTTATTGTTGGCATTTTGGAACTAAAAATTCAAAGTAACAAAGGCTAATTATTACCTCTGATAATGCTTACATAAGTATCCTAAATAGTAATAGGAAACTTCATGTTTTCCTGAAGAGGTTTCAATACTTGAATTCTCAGACCTAACCAAAGTGAAATCTTCATCAAATTCAGCAATGTTCCCACCTTAACAGCAGTGAACTGAATTTAGGGGATAATTCCTCCAATGTAAACTCCCACCTACGTGTGGTCTGAATACAAACAACAGTCCATTGAAGGCAAGACTGCTGACACTGCTGAGCTTACTACAAATGCAGGATCAGTTCATTTCAAACACAGAATTTTAGGATTCTTTTTTTTAACAACAAAAAAAAAAATCAAAGGGGCTTAAGGGTTAGTGTTTTACTGAGCATGTTTCCATCATCTGTACTGTATCTATATAGCCAAAGGCAATGCTTTATTACAAATAGTGATCATTCATATCAAAGCTTACAGTATTAGGGAGATATTTGGTAACAGGATTTTAATTAGCCAATACATTATACTAACATGTGGGGTTCTTTAATAAGCTGACTAGACAGCAAAGCAACATTCATCCTGCATCTAAGCCTGTCAAGCAGGGTTTATGTATTACATATAAACTTGATAGCCTGCCTCCCAGCTAAGTGCACCTTTTTCACTAATGAAAGTAATTTCAAACTCCTACATACTTTAAACTCCTGGCTCTTGCTAAATTATCTTTTGTGGTTTTATTTAGAATACTTAAATGTAAACTTCTTGTAATGAACCTAAGACGAAAATCCTTTGCAGAATTACAAGTTTAGCTTTCAGCGATGGGAGGGTGTGGAGGGCAAGCAGGCATTCCCTTTTTGTCTGGAAAGTGATGAGGTCTTTGAAATTACCATGGAACAAAGAACTCTACTAGAAAAAGTAACCAAGCCATGCATAACAGGGCTTTCAGCAACCTGGTCCAGTGGAAGGTGTCCCTGCCCATGGCAGGGGGGTTGGAACAAGTGTTCTGTAAGGTTCCTTTCAACCCAAACCATTCTACAACATACTTGCACCCTAGATCCCTCATTCACCTTCTAGTGGCCTGCCTGCCCCTAATGTGTATAGAAATGTTTCCTGGGTCTCCTGAGAAAGCAGATAGCCATCTGCAAAGGAAATCTTTCTGGCTTCCTTCAGAGGCCATTCAAACTACTGTTCTGCTGTCTAAGATGACACCTTCCATTCTGTCAGATGGAGGAAACTTGTTTCAATGGAGAAGTGAGAAAATCAGTGTAAATGCTCTCTTAATACTAGTCTTACCATTGTGTGAAACAAATTATAGGACACCAAAAATAACTGAATCTTTGGCTACAGCACTGAAATAGGCTGTTGAAGCTCTCACATATATTCAGATACAAGGTTAGGCATATGCTTATCATACTCAGGTCTGTTAGAGATGTGTATTTCCCTTAATTGTTTCTGTAGCAAAAACATCTCAATATCAACTTTTTTTTTTTTTTACCTTGAAGTCGTTCATCAGTTATTATTTTGTTAGTTTGATTCCAGGTACTGTCGATAAATATTATTTTCTTCAGCCTAGTGCCTTCATTCCCATTGGTTGAGATGCATTCATTTAGATTTTTTTCTTCTTCTTTAGGTTCTAGTTTTGCTTGCTTAAGAAATGGTTCTCTGGAACAGTCATTATCATTCGCACAAGTGCCTTTCTTAACATACTTTTGGAGATGGAAAGCAATATCTTTTACTGAAATTGAATTGGGACCAGGAAATATAAGTGCTATCTAAACAAAGAAAAAGAAATGTGAATGTTAGCAAAATCTAATGAAACACCAGGAATTGTTTCATTAAAGAACAGAGATTTTCTACCCCCATCCACGAACATTTAAGTCAGGACAAGATGAAAAAGTATCTCATAAAAAATATTTTATTGTCTAAAAGGATAAAAGACTGTTAAAACAATGAATACTTGTTAGAGATCTTTGGATATCACCTCCATGCTTCTACTACCAATTCTAATACTTCGTAAATAACAGCTTTTTCATCCTAGATAATGGTGTCAGCCCTGAGAAAATTCAGATTTCACCTGTCATTGCCATGTGTGGAGCAGGAAGGCCATAAAAAATAGTTTCACATTTTATTCATGAGTCTTGGTTAAGAAGAAAAAAATCTCTTCTGCCCTTGTGTCTATTGCAGGTCCCACAAGTATCTTGTATGAAAAAGACCAGTGATGGCCTTAGTGTTTTTTTCAGTTGCTTACTGCAGCGTTCAGAATCTGTGACTTGGAAAGGCTGGACAATATAAAGTTACTGCAGTATCTTCCCTGTTCCTCATTCTGGCTTTTTAGCTTCCTACCTCTTTGCCACCTCTGCTTTCCTTGAAGAAAATAATGTGTATATGAGATACGTATCTTTTCTTCTTCATGTAGTCAAACATTATAATTACATCAAATGTGTAAATTTCAGATTAATCACACTATTTAAATGAGCATAGCTCAAATTTTCAGGCTCTGTCCTGACTGAAGTAGGCATTTTAGGTTTTCTCTGAAATAGGGAATGTTAAAAATTTAAAAGAAATTTAAATACTGCAGCTGCTGAATAGGGTGAGCACAACAAGTAACTGCTATTCAACTGGCTCTAAGTTGAATACTTTCATGTGTTTGTGAAAATATGTTTGGGCAAAGTATTTCTTATGGTACACAGTGAATCAAACTATATGTTATCTAAGGTGGCAAATACAGGACATTCAAGGTGGTTAAGTAGTACTATGGTTTTTATAAGCTTTGTAAGACACTCCATAACCACTGTATATTTTGAGAGAGTGCAAGATAAGAGTGGACTGGATTAACAGAACAGTGCTTCCCTCCCACTCCTATCCAGCACAGTCCAGTACCACTACAGGAGGAAGTTCAGAAGATTCCTCTGCATCTCCCCAGCACAAAGCCCAGATATCTATATGGAATTTCTTACTTCATGTCTTTTTTCTTCGTATTCTGGAATGCAGGGGTATTTATATATTGTAACATCATCAGGTGCCAGGAGCTTAGCATGCACAGCAGTGCTTTTGCCATCTGTTTCATTTGGGTGTTTAATGATGTCAATCTTCAAAGGTAACTACAGTAAAAAGAAAATAAATAAGCAATTATTTATGACCATATATGCAGGTACAAACTTTTATGCAAGATCCAGCAGAAATCCCTATGGACATGTAATTAAGAAATATTTGACAATTTCTGACAATATTTTTAACAGGTTTAGAACTAAACCAGAGACAAGTGACATGAAGCACCTGTTACATTCAGTTCATCTAGATACTTGAGCAAGCAATTAATGCAATTTGGAATGCTGCAGGACTAGTGTGATAAAACATTTAGGAATAGTATCTCTAAGGTAAATAATATGTGGTCTTGATTTGATCAGTATAATGGTTGTAAATACGAATGCTTATCTGTGTTAGATATTCACCTCATTGCAAAAATGGCTGTTTCAATGAAAATGCACTTACTTAAATACACTAGGTCAAATTTCCAAAGTACTCCTAAAATATGTATTTTCATGATGCATTCAAACTACAGAGTGTCTTCAAAATGCATTTTAGTTCCTAGGTGATTCTGCAAAATGTCAGTCCTCTGATGATTTATCCAAGTACTTTAGCTGAAAGGCATTAGGCTTTTTAGTCTTTATTTGTGTTATCTGAATTATACAACCATGACATTTAGGAATGCCTTTTAGCTCACATTTCCATTTTATGTAAAATTTCTATGGACAGAAATTATGGACAAATCATTTTTTGTTCCCAATGTGCTCTGTTCTGGCCAGAGTTCTTAGACACTGAAGAATGAAGGTAAGAGCACTGTACAGAAACTTTTGAGAACTAAGTGAAAACAACCATTTGCACAAGAAGCTGAGTGATTCAGCATACCTTCCCATCCAGCAGATATGTAAATGAGGATTGGAACACTGTCAGTGTTTGTACACATAATTCCTCACATAAGAAGAATTTTACCTAACTGTAGCTTACAGCTGTACTTAATAGCTGTGTTCAGGATGAACATCCTTACTGAATTAATCAGAAATGAAACATCCACAGACAGACTGTTCTCCATTCCTAGTAACTAAAAGGCACAAGAACATTATAAAAAATCTGTATGAAATATTAACCTTCACAGTTGGAATTTCTTTGGTAGGGACAGTTTCAACAGGAACAAAGCATGTATAACAATAAAACATCCTTGAGCTACTGCATCGAGGACATTTTGATCTCCCACTCTTCTTTGCCTTTTCAAGTACTTCCTGCGATGCAAGCTGTAGCTGTTGAAGTGGGTTATCTTGAAACGATGATGGAGCCTGCAGTTCTACACTTTTCAAACATTCAGAATTTCTTCTTGGTTCTTGAGAGTTTTCTTCATTTACCAGTGTAGGTGAATTTAAAGACATGGTTAGCTGAAACAGACAGTATGCTGCTGCTGTTAAATAAAATCTGTGAACTAATTTATTAGAAATGATTCTGTATGATCCAGTTTAGCAAAAAATACTCATCAAAGAAGGTATTTCCTGTTAACAGAAAGAAACACAAAATCATCTGATTCAGTTGTTATAGCACAAGAACTCCAAACAGATTTCAGGAGAGTATGAGATAAATGGCTAGAAGGAACTCGAGATCTGTATTCTTAATGCACATATGTGCACATTCATCATTTCACTGAGGCAAATTCTCCCACTCAACCTGTGCAGAACTACTTTTTTCCTTTAGTAGGATCACTGTCTAAAAGCTTGTGAAAACACTGGTAGACACCATTTACCTGGATGAATAGTCCCATTAGTCTTCAGCATGACTACTGACAATGAATTAAATGTCTACAGGATAGAAATTTGTAAGAGATAATTGCACAAAATCAGATTTCTGTCCTGAATTTTAGTGTGTGTGGGCAAATCAAACGACCTGAATGAAATCCCTGATGACAGAACTTTGTGAGATAAAAGAAATCTTCCAGGAGCAAGGTTTGAGGCTGAAAAATTAAGTCTTAAGAGCTAAAACACTGCTTTGGTGCTCCATATACCAGAAAGTAAGTGCTGACCCAGTCTAGGCTCATTCTGCAACTTCGTATTTATTGAGTAACGTTTTTTATTTCAGGCTTTCTGCAGGACAGATGTTGTCTCATCCTTTGCAGCTGGCATAAAATTTTCACTGTGTACTCTCAGTAATGTTCTGGAAACCTGACCGTATGCCCATACCCGATCCAGCCAGAATTAGCACTGCTGTGTGCAGAAGCTCACAGGCACAGTTTTAGCAGAACCCTTCTGACTAGATCACTCTCTGGTCTTAAAAGCAGTTCCCAGGCAGGAGCCTGCACAGCCTGCAGTAGTTATAAACTGCCTTTTGCACTCTGTGCTGCATCACTTGAAATGAAAGAAGTCATTCTCAGTATTTACTTTCAGCTAATTTAGGTTTACTTTTTCATGTCAGGGATCACACTTGTGAAATGATGTAACAAACCAGTCATGTTTTACAAAAACAAACAAACAATAATTTCTGAGATGTGATCCAAAATTAAGTGTTTAAATAAAACCAAGTGTAATTTAATTGAGAAATAACAAAACCAAAACACACTAACTTTCCAATAAAAATTTAAAATTAATCCCAGAAATATTAAGTTGTTTTTTCTTGTAAAATTAAATACTCATGCATGCTATGATACCTTCCTCTCCTCTGCTGCCAAGCTCTAACTTTTGAAAGGTCAGGGGTGTCCATTCAAATTAGCATAAAATCTAATATGCATACAACTTTTATAGTGCAACTTGCTCTCACGTATCTCTTAGATAAAGCAAATATACCCAACATCTCATGTTTCCACACAGAGCAAAGACAGTGAGAGGCCCTGTAATTTGGCATGCGTTCCCAGCCTGCTTCTTTTCCGTATAATGTCTTAAGGCACTGTGTTCGACACCCCAAAGCACTTTATTGATATATGCTGCACTAACGGCACAAGAAAACTTTTGTAGTCTCAAAAGAGCAGCTGTTCACAGTTACAGCAGCGTATGTTCAGTTTACTTTTCAAAAGAAGACAACAATGGAGTTTACAATTTTAAGACTGTAAATAACATCTACACCTGATCTCCGAAACCCCGACACATCGCTGCCGCTGCACAGGGCCCTCTGCATTCCAACTGCAATCCTAAAACAACTTAAAAATCTCAGCCGGGACAAAGTGATTTTCTGTCAAGCTCATGAAGTGCCAGAAAACGCTCATCCCGGTTACTGCCGGGTGCTCACGCACCTCTGCTCGCTCCTGTCTGCTGAGCACTGCGGAAGCAGCACGGTTAGGTCCAGTTGTGGGTAGACAGCTTCTGGGGCACACCGCCCATGCCCTCAACACTGACCCAGGGGTTCCGACAACATACAGGACTGGGGCTTTCTGCAGCAAGGAAGCGGCGGAGCTGCACAAAGCAGGCAGTAGGAAATGCACCGGTACTCTGAAGAGCGCAGCCCTCCGCTGCTGGGACCTCTCCCGGAAACAACAAAGCACTTCTGCCCCGGCACGCCTGCATGGCCCTGTCCCCGTCTCCCGGAGGCACCAAGGCCTTTGTGGGCCCAGTGGAGGCCACAGTGGCAGTGTGGGGCCGCCTCCCCCCGCGCAGAGAGCGGCCAGGCCGCCTCGGGGCCCCGCCCGCCAAAGCGGCGGTGCCTCCGCGATGCGCTCCCTCGGCTCTCCTCCCCGCCGTGGCCTCGCCGCCCTCGCGGTGGGGCGGGAGAGCTCCGCACCCGCTCAGGCTCCGCTCCTCACCCGCTCCCTCTGGTCCGGCCCCTCCGCGGGCCGGCGCTCGCCGCAGAGGAGTGCCCAGCTCTTCCGCGGCCCTCGCAGCCCCCGGAACGAAAGTGTTGGGCTCGGCCACCGCGGGAAGGAGGGGACCGGAAGAGCGGGCGCGGAGGAGCGCCGTTCGGCGGGAACAGTTGCTAGGGGCCCTTAGTGACAGCGCGTGCGGAGCGGGAGGCAGCGCGTGCCGGCTGCGGCCGCTGAGGAGGCGCGTGGCGTGCCCACGCGACAGGCAGGCAGGCGTTGACTGACTGGCACTGACTGACGGACATTGACACTGACAGACTGACACTGACACTGACAGACTGACTAACATTGACACTGACAGACACTGACTGACACTGACAGACTGACTGACATTGACACTGACTGGCACTGACTGACGGACATTGACACTGACAGACTTGACACTGACACAGACTGACTAACATTGACACTGACAGACTGACACTGACTGACACTGACAGACTGACACTGACACTGACTGACTGACATAGACTGACACTGACTGGCACTGACTGACACTGACTGACTGACACTGACTGACTGACACTGACAGACACTGACTGACACTGACACTGACTGACACTGACACTGACAGACTGACACTGACTGACAGACACTGACAGACTGACATTGACTGACACTGACTGACTATTGACTGAGTGACACTGACAGACTGACTGGCATGGACTGACTGATATTGACAGACTGACTGACACTGGCTGACACTGATTGACACTGACTGACATTGACTTTGACTGACTGACACTGATTGACACTAACACTGACTGACTGACACTGACTGACATTGACTGACACTGACTGACACTGACTGACATTGACTGACACTGACTGACTTTGATACTGACTGACACTGACTGACATTGACTGACTGACATTGACTGACACTGACAGACTGACATTGACTGACTGACTGACGCTGACAGACTGACATTGACTGACACTGACAGACTGACATTGACTGACTGACACTGACTGGCACTGACATTGACTGACTGACAGACACTGACAGACTGACTGACTGACTGAGGGGTCCCAGGGCCCTTCTCCACTGCAGGATGTCCTCCCCCACACGCCTCCGTGGCCAGCAGTCTGGCGACAGCTTGGTGTGACCCCGATAGATGAAGGACATGTCAGAGCACCCCGAGGCAGGGACTCCCTCCTTAGGGACCTGCTCTGGTGTTGGGTTTTATGTTTATTTGAGGGCATCTGGCCCCGAACCGGCTCTTTCACGTGTTGTGTGACAAAAATCTGAACAGAGAGCACATCCCGTTGCCTGAAGGTTGAAATCCCCCCTGTTCCCTCCCAGGTTTTCTCAGCCCGTGTGAAACATCTCCTCAGGCGTTTCCTCCGGGCGGTGGCAGCACCCGGCGGGTCTGTCTGCCTTGTAGAAGCACCTGGAACCCGCTGTGCTGGGATCTGAGAGGTTTGCTTCATGCCCTTGTTAACTCTGGGGAAGCTAGGTAGGATTTCTTTACCTGTATTTTTTCCCCGTACCTATTAGTATTCTTGCTGCATAGTTATGGCTGACTTCAGGAGCTGTTAGTATACTGTGTTAGTATATTCCTTTCTTGTTTTGCAGCTCTCCCTAAATAGTGCGTGGGATCTTTTCTGCAGAATTCCTTGGCCTGCCTGAGGATGCTGCTCTACGGTAGCATTTACCCAATATTCAGTGTTCAGTAACTCCATTTTTAGGTTGAAGTAGCTAAACTAAACCAGCAATTTTGGTATAGAGAATATTTCTCTCAACTCAGTGAATTGAAGTCTGTGATATATTAGTTGTAATAGCCTTAGGGGGGAAAGTTGACATTGTAGGGAGACTTTATGCCAAACTTTGATCTCAATTACACCCCCAAAACCTCACTGACTTCAGTGGTTTTACATTTGGAGCAGAGGATTTCTACCAGCATTCTGTTGTTGTTTGTTTTGTTTTGACTTGCTCAGTTTTTCATGCCAGCACTATGAAATGCATTGCGGTAGTACAAAAAATGTTGACATTTCACCATAGTTTTTATCTCCTTATGCTGTGACTATGCATCTTGATGTAGTTAATTATGTCAAAATAAAAAATGTTTACTGAACACAAAGAAGACTTCTATAATAGTTCCTAAATTCTTTCTTGCTGCATTTAATTTCAGTAGGTTTTACTAAATGCACTTTGTTTGAATGATCTCTTTGGGTACTTCTTGTCTGGGAGCAAGCAGCCTGCTCAATACTTAAGAGCAGGCTCTGAAATCTGAATTACTTCTTTGTATACTTTTATTCTATACAGTTACTTGCACAAAAGCTGTGATATTAACAAAACTGATTTTAGGAATGGTTGCTGTATTGTTTTTGCTTGAGGTTCTTAATTTCACAGTTGGCTAAAATTATTACTCTTTTCAAACCAGTATTTCTCACACATGGTTTCTGCTCAGATATGATGGTGTAGTTTTGAGGTTTTAATTATTCTGAGCTTGGAAGATATCAGGTGATGGATTTCAGTGAGACTTTGGTTAACCTGCAACTCTGACATTCTTCCAACTTTAAAACCTTTATGTAAGAACAGTGCTGCTTTTTTTTCCAGTATGTTTTAGTAGTACACAGATAATAATAGTGTAAATGTTTTGTATGGAGGTACTGAGAAGATGATGGAAGTTCTGCCTTTATGATTAATGGTCCTTACGTATTTTCCACATCTTTAGCATGTTTCTTGGCATCTAAGAATGTGTGCTAGTATTCTGCTTATTGGAAGAAATGACAGTGCAGGTGCTCTATGTGTGCTGTTGTGATAACTTTTGATTGTCAGGTTTAGTTGTCTGAAGTTTAAATATTTGTTAATGTAGGTTATTTTAGGGTTTTCTGGTGCAAACAATTCTTACTATATGTCTGCAGGAAATGCAAGAGCCTCCTTTTACTTTTGAAGAATTCTTATGTTCTGAAGATTTGGTGAGTCCAACTGCTTATTATTTTAACTACCCATGTATATGGTGAATTGAAGAAGCAGGAGGCAGGTCCTGAGCAAAGCCATGTGAATGTAAATACTGAGAATTGAGTTTGAGTGTAGATTGTATTTCCAGGACCCTCAGGCACTGGAAACTAAGAGGTTTGTAGAAATGGCAAACCTTTAAGAGAGCAGCCTCTCTGTTAACTGCCTTTTTTTTTAAAGCTAACCCATGGAGGAAAATTTCTGTCTGTTGTACAGTGATTTTCTGCTGTTGTTAAAGTATGCTTGAGTGATGACCCTGGATCAAGCGTGTTTAAAATATTTGGTCAGTCCACAGTATTACTAACATAACAGAAAGTCCTGAACCCTGAGGCAAAAAGCTCTGATGAGTATGAAAAGGGGAATAGCTAGTTTTGCTTTTTAATGAGTTGCTTTCTTTTCTTGTATTGATAAGGCTGCTGGGGAAATCTTTGAATATGTGTTTCTTTTCTTAAAGAACTTAATATAATGTGGTTACCAATGGTTCATTGAAATTACATTCTTTTTAGAGAAAACAGAACTTTCCTTTTGACCTGCCTACATTATTTTCAAGTATTGATTCACTCAAAGCCTTTAACTACAGAGCTATGGGAAAAATTACTCTTTTGCTATGAACCAGAACTTCTTCTATCACAGGAACAAAGAAATAAAAAATGATAAAAAGAATTTCAGTGGACAGAACATTCCATAATAAGTTTTTTGTCTCTTTAAAACGTATATTTTTAGGAGGAGCAATTGGACATAAAAGTGGAGACATTTTCATTTGGCATCATGTCAAAACAAAATATTACTATGTTTTAGTGTTCTAATTGGTTTTACTCTCTTTTTACCCTAAAATAAACATTTGTGTATTAATAGTTTGCTTTTTTTTTTTAAAGCAGTAATTTGTCTTGCTGCCCTGCTATTAAGAAAGACATGTCATTGTCTTTCAGTTCTACTAGAGGGTTTAAGACCACATTAATTACTCTGTATTAGCACTTAGTAAGTTATTTTCCAAAAGTGATGAGTTTGATGATTAACTTCAAGTGACTACCCTTGGTTTCAACAATTTGCTCAAATATTTAAGCTGTTAGTTTAAATTCTTTGCTAGATCAAGGAACAGTTTCCTCCTGTGTTTCCACTTCTGTTCTCAACAGATGGAAGGCGTTACTGTCCTTTCTGAGAACTTAAAGTGCACACGATTTTATTTGTCTCTTTAGAAACATAGTAACTTTTTTTTTCCTTGAGTTATCTCCTTCTGTAACTAAAAGGTTACAGTCTTTTTAATTACTCGGTGTCTGCTCTAATGGGCCTCCCTTTCCTGTCCTATTTCTGTTTTTGTCTTTTTGAGATGATGTAATCAGCTCTGAATGCAGCACATGGGAGAGGAGGAAATTGCAGTTGACATTAACAATGTTGCCAAAATTATAGTCTTACAAGGTATATGTAAAATGCATTTATACTGGTATTACAATTCTTTTTGCAAAGTAAAGTTCATTACTTTTGTATCATTTTCAGAAATAACTATTTTTACCATGTACTGAGTGCCGAAGGAATGGCCAAATTGTGCATCTCTCAGTGAGCCTTGTTCTAAAACGATTATTCTTTCAGGGCTGTATGTAAATATCTGTATGAGTATGTTCCATTGACCATCAATGGTCATCCACACTCAGATTTGGAGAAGGGAATAAACACAAGTATCGAACTGGAGAAACCCACTGAAAAAATATTATGATGTGAACCGGCATATCTAGAGGAATATCTCATGCCCTTGAACAGACAAACTGACAGGCATTGTCTCAGATAAGTGTTATAGCTTTGCCTCAGTTTGCAAGTGTGAAGTGTCAAGTTTATAAATTAAAAAATGCTGATAAGCTGAAGTCCCAGTTCTGCCTGGGTTTTAGAAACATTTTGTGTCAAGCCTAAACAAAGTGCAAGCAAAAGGCTATGAAAACATGTTGTTCTTCACAGACCTTGGTATTATAAAGGAAAGATGAGAGTACTGAAAGACCATAAAGGTGGTTTTAAGCCTTCCAATAATTCCAATGGTGCAGTAGAAGTATACTACTGCATGTATGTTGTGTGTTAAGTTTTGTGCACATACACATTTAATTGTAGACCTAGACATATAAAAAGTCTGCCTAATTACAGCTTGTAGCCAGTAAAATCAGCAATCCAACCTCTATTTCTAGCTAAACCTTGCTAATTTTTTTAAGACATTGCTACTGAGGAAATTGGTGCAGAAGAAATTCTGACTCAGACAAGTGAGATGGGGAAAGCAAAGGTATAGTATAGATTTTTATTTCTTTTAATAGATTAGACAATAAAGACTAACTGTTCAAGGTATTTTCCTTGGATCCAGAAGTGGAATTACATCATTCTCTGAACGTTTGCTAGGGGAGAAGCTGGGCCATGTTGATGACACCAAAACAATTTGAAAAAACTCTATTTTTTCTTTGTACCTCCAAAGGTGTTTTGTAGTCACCAAAAGTCTCAGTTTTAGACCATTGCTCCTTTTCTGAAGTATATTGACAGTTCATAGTATAAGTTGTCTTAGATGAAAATATCATTTCTAGCATTGTTTGAAATAGCATTATTTATGAATTAAGTATTTAAACATTTCTCACCTTGCCAAATACATTGTTGAGGAGTCAAAAGGTAGAAATATAGAGGTAAGAGATTGTTTACACTGCATGGTATTTCTTGGATGTTGGTTTGACTATTAAAGGCCAATTAAAGTTTCTATTGAAGTAAATAGAGAGATATATAAAAATAACAAATTCTTTGTTAGATTCTTTTGAAACAGCTTGAAAATTTGTCATGGGTTTATTAACATTGTAATGAAAAAGTTTTGAGAAAGAAGAAACTCACAAGGACTTGGTAATGTTAAGTTTATGGTTAGGTTAGGTTGGACTTGATGATCTGAAAAGTCTTTTCCAACCTAAATGGTTCTGTGATCCTATGAGAAATAAACCTCAACAAAGACTGAAGTGGTTATTTCATGTACTTTAACAGACTCTTAAGGGTAATAAAAGAAAGCAACTGTTAAAGAAAGTATTTTTATCGAATGGGGTCACCAGCAAGTGAACACCTCTATTGTAGAATACTGCTTAAATTTTACTTTAGTTTTCTTGTTGGAGCAGCTATTTAATGCAAAAGGAACATAATGATTAGCTTAGTTGCTAAATGATTTTATTTTCTTTTTAGAGTTGTTTTACCTGGTTTCAAGGTAAAACAACTTTCAGAATTACCAAGACATTTGGGAACTCCAAAACTTTGGGATCTAGTTATAAAAGCTCAGTTTTTTTAAGTATGAAGTATTTCTTCCTGTGAATTCAGTTTTTTAAGTAACAGTTGAAAAACTAGGGCTGATTTTAGAGCTAAGCCTCTCCTGTCTTTGTGATCTGCTTCAGGCATGCTGCTATGACTTATGGTAGCTTTCTACTTGGGAAAGTCAGTTTGGGCAGAATCAGAATCCATGGCACTGTGAAAGGCCAAGATAAAGTATGTTAGATTTTTTATAACTTCCACTTGAAGTGGAAATGTGTAAGCTTTTACTAATTTATATCTTTAAAATTTAAATGCTTAAAGTACTAAGGTACAGACTAGGTGGGTATACATACTTGAGAGTATAAATTTGTACATGAGTAAAACTAATTTAAGAACAAATTTGAATTCTCACTATAGAAACATTTTAAAAATTTGGTAAGCAGCTATCCAAAAATCCTTTATTCTTTAGGATCAGTAGGATTGCATTGCTGCAGAAGTACATAGAAATAAGAGGAACAGATTTCTAATAGTCATGTGCTAATAGTTATCACCAACATAAAACAATCACTACTTTGTTCCTAGTATCAAACAATCTGAAATCCTGACTTTTGATCCATTTTGCATATTGGGTTGTTACTAATAAAGCAAAGATTATTTTACTACTTTTTCACGTATTAACCTATTGTATAGTATTATGCAGACTTTCACAATCTATGTTAAAACAGTGACTGATAGATTGAAGAATATTATAAATGTTATGTCATTTACTGCATTTTTCTTTTGGCTTAGAAATGAAGAAAACTGTTAATTCCTGTTACTTGTCCAAGTCCAAATACTGTCAAGTTGATAAAAACAAGTTGTGCAGAGTGAAGGACAGATATAAAATTCAGATAGTTGAGCAGCCTAGATAAATTCTATGTCTAAGCAGTGACCTGTTGATAGTACTTGCTGCAAAATGTGTGCACAAATGTAACATTTTTGACATAAAGTGTTTATATACAAACAGAAGCCTGCTCTTGGAAGTTAACAGTGATTGATATACAGAAGTAATCGGTTGTCCTACAATTTATTTTGTTTTTTTGCATAAACATAATGTCTTGGCACTCAGAGAATGGCTGTAGACCTTGCTAGTATTAGAGGATAAACATGGGGTTTATTAATCAGTATATTAGCATGCACCTGTATCTGAATTTATGATGATACCTTTTTCCCAGTTTTTTCCCTTTGCAGCCTAACCAGGAAGATCAAGACCAATTGTTTGACAGAATTGGAGGTTTTGTGGCACATTTTTCTTCTTGTTCCCAGGGATGCTGAAGATATTTTTTTTCAGGTAATAGTACAATTAGCATTTTCAGTGATGTATGGGTTAGATTCAGCTCATAAAAGTATAATGATATCAAAAAGAAAGTATTGTATTTTTAAGGTAATACGTAGGCTCTGGTCCAGTCCAATCATTGCCTTATTGCAGTGACTCTGTTCTGTAGGAGCTCTTTTAGCTGTGAAATTATTTAACTATTGCAGAATTAGCCAGCAAGGATATAATCATACCCAGAGACATAACTTATAATTCAAATGATGAATGCTGATTTCATTTCATGCTTTCTTTGTGCTACTGTGTAGGAGAATTATTCTGGGAGAATCTATGGTAAGCACATAAATGCAGTCAGGAAGGAAGCCTTAAAAATTCAAGCCCTAGGTAAAACTATACTAATTCCTGGAAAAGCTGCTGAACAGGGTGTTGTAACAGCAGACTAGGAGAGCTTCCCCAGTAACTATTTGTAGGTGGCTTTGAAGGTATCTCTGTAAAAAATGGTCACTTTGTATAAATATTCTTACAGGATTCAGACTATGCCTGTCCTATTGGAAGTAGTATTATATTGCCATTCTGAATGTTTTGACAGTAACAGTTTATGATTTTTAGGTTGTATATGTATTTTAATATCCATTTAAAAAGATTTAGAGCACATTTCTATCTTTGGTGCTCATTTATTTAGACTTCATGACAATGTGGATTTCATTATCTTGTATGTTGAAGCCGATTGACAAATGCAATAGAAATATGTTTTTGAAGTAGATATAAAATACCAAAATAATTTCTCAAAACCCTTCTCTGTGTCAGTCACTGTTGGGCAGAATTTTCTTTTTAATTACAGACACAGAAAATTGTATGTAGAAAAAAATCATCCTGAAACATTAAATTTGAGAAGGCTTGCATACTTCAAAGTTATATATGCACCAAACTCCAAATGGGCCTTTAACTTGGATGAGCTGGGTAAACCCACAGTGTACTCTGTAACTACTATAAATAGATAATAGATAGAATTAACTGAAATTTAGTCAGACCAGAGAAAAATCCCAAGACCACTGCTATGCCATAGATTCTGTATCTGCATAAAACCTATGGTATGGAGCTCTGCAAAGTACTACTGGAGTGAATATGGAAACCCACTGAATAAAGTAAATTATGTATTGCTGCCAGAATAATTCACAACCTCAACGAAACATAAACAAATATATTAAATTACCAGAATTGGAACAACACAAAGTAAGGATATTCACTCATGTGCAAAACTAAGCAGAAGCAGAAAGGAGATGGTAAAAACTGTCCTGTTTGACTCTAAGTATATGGCTATAATTATTTCAGTTAACAGGATTGGACCCCAAGGATGAGGTTGACCATGGTCATAAAAATTTGCACATTGGAGACAGGAAATAAAGCAGCTTTCACTCAGGAATATTCATAGGGTGATTTTCAAAATTAACATCAATATTCTTATAAATTAAATTTTTGATTTTCAGGTGTAAACTCAAGGAAAGGTGTATGGAAGCAATGGAATGTTGAAAGCTTGAAGGCTGCCACAGTAAATTATACTAGTAAAGATGCTACTGTTAAAATGCAAGCTAGTGCACCTGCCAGTTCTACAGCAACCTGTAAGTCTCGTAAATATTTCTAAACACACAATGCATGTCACTCCACACATTTTGGAAAGAAATCTAGAGTATATTGCAAAATCTAATTGTCAACATAAATTATTAGTAATATTTTCAGTTTGTTTTGCACAAAATCAAAATGTTATAGCAATTAAACATGAATTGATGATTTTGGTCTACTCTAAACATGCATCCTCCCAAATACTGATACTTCCATTTGATTAAGCCGTAAGCAATATTACAAAGTATTTAAAGAAGGTACTGATACTCTAGCTAGTAAAATCTGGCGGTTTTGATTTTGTCAGTTCCTCTCATACTAATGACAGCTATTATTTTTTCTACTCCTTTCTCTGGCACCTGGTTCCCATTTTCAGTATGTCTTGCATTCTTCCCTCTAACTTCTACCCCTTTGTCTTCCCTGTCCTGATGGATCAGATCTTAACTTTTATTCTTCCATACCAGCCTGCTATGCTTTCTCAATGCTGCTGTTTTAACCACTTCTCAAGCTGTTTGTGCTGGTGTTGCTTCTAGCTTGCTCTGAGTGTTATGCAACATTTTGTTTCTTCAAGCTAGCCAGCTTCTTTTCTCTTTTCCCTGCCTGAAATTACTGTTTTCCTTCTAACAACTACAGCCATAATTTTATGCTTCCAATCTTCTCTTGCTCCTTTTTAACTTCCTTCTGCCTCAACCATAACCAAACAACTTTTCCCATCCCTGCCTTTTTTTCTCCCATCTTTTTTTTCCATGAGCTCATATGTTTTTCTCTATTTAGATGATTTCCCAGTCATCGAGGTACGAAAACCTTATTTTTGCAAAATAATTCAGGAGAAAACTCATAAATTTGCATCATAGGTATCATTTAAGGCAGTGAGGTCTGTAATTCTTTGATTTTCCATTTTCTAGTGTATATTTGGCTGTATAATATAGGGTTATTCATTGCCAGTCTTAAAGATAAACTGGAGAATTATTTTAGAAATTCTTTAGTGATGGAACCTACTTGAATGGAAGAAGATATCTTTGTGCAGTTTTTCAGGGCTCCTCACCCTGCTCTGTTGGTAGCAGTCTTCCCGCTCCCCAGCCTCTACCATTTTCCATGCTATCACTGACGTGTTTTCTCTATGGTTAAGTGCTTAGGAAAAGATAGAGGGTTGCCTCTTGTATGTGTTAAGGAGAGAAGGTTTGGAACGTGCTGTACTCAGGAAATCCTGAATTAGTGCAGTACTGCAGACATATCAGAGGAAAGGAAGTATTCTCTCATGTGCCATGATTCCCACAAAGCTTTCTCTTAGAATGTAGATGTGAGAGAATTGCGTGGGTTTTCCCCAATGAAACAGACTATCTAAGCAACAAGGAGAGCTGCTTTTGAGGCCTAGCTGAAGGATTTGGTCTCTGTAGATGAATACAGCTTTGTCGAACCTTTGTATGGATTGGCTATGCACATCTGTGTCTTAAAAAAGTGAGCTATTTTACTGTCGTTATGTGTTGCCTTTTAGCTTTCCTGAAGAATTTTCCTTTTTTACTTTAGGATTTCTTTTCAAGCACAATTAAAAAATGAAATGTGGTTTATTTAAAGTTGAAAGTCAGTGTTACTCTCATCAGGTTACAGTCTTGAAAGGAAATTCTTGTTTACAGAATCAATTTTGTGTGTATTGCTCAGTTTGCAGGACAGTTTTTAGAAACAGAAATGTAACTATGTTTTTGAACAGAAGAACATTTGGGTTTAAAAATAATATGCTTTTACAAAACCTAAAACCAGTGGAAACATTTGCATGTTTTTTATGAATTCCAAAGGTTTTATTCTGGTTTAATCATATTTCCTCTTGGATCATGGTCACTGTAGTACTTTACTAGTATACAAAAACAAGAATATGAAACTGAGTAAAAAGTGATTATTTATGAAGTTGGTTCAGTAAATTACCTCAGCTGCTCATTAGAACACTGCTTACTTAAGGGAGTCTGTTTTAATGACAGTAATCTCTAAAGTCTCTGAAGCTATTGTTATCTTGATGTTTCTTTCCAAGATATAATGGCATGTTCTTTCTTATGACAGTAAAACAAACAGGAGAAGCCCTACTATTTTAGCTCTTCCTGTTAGTGTCCTATCCTGTGGTCTACCTTATTGCTTTAGGCTTGCAGGATGCTCATGGTTTTGTTCAATAATCATTTGTTCTCTCTTATGACCACTGAAAAGTTGTTGCTTGTCCAGATCTACTTTAGTGCCTAGTTTTCAGTGAAACCAAAAGGGATAGCGTGTATAGACAAGTTAGTCATACTAACATGTTGTGTCTTACGCAAGAATTGACTGTCCATGGTTTCCAAATGTTGCTTTTCCTCTAAAGGTCTCATCCAGTGTTCCTGTGGTAAGAATAATATCACAGCATCTCATATAGACATAAACAGGCTACCCTGTTAGCTAGCTTGAACAGAGAAAACCATATAACTTTGAGGGTATGGTATCCTGTGTAGCAACAGAAGTCCCTGTGAGTGTGGGTAGAAACAGCTACATCTCCTCTGTTGTCCCTGTGATCTGTTGTGATTAGTCTGGCAGTTTAAATCTAGTGTGGGGTATGTTTAGTGCTTTAGCAGCATGTACCAGACTCGAATTTACCTATCAAATAGCACACTGAAAGTGGCTAGTGTAAAGTTATATAAGAAATCTTTAGTGGAACCAGGTTTCAAAGGGCAGTAGATGAACCATGAAAACTCAGCAGTCACCAGCTGATGACTTGATTTTTGTCCATCAAAACTGGTGCTGTCCAAGGTAATAGTAAATTGTGTTTATGCTTAGACAGGAGATAGTAATTGTAAAGGGAGTCGGCCCTGAATTCTGATTAAAATCATACCACATAACATTATTATTATAAAAACATTTCTAGTGGTGATAAAGATATTACTGAGTTAGTTGGAAGAATAAGGGAGTGATTCCTCCCGTCTAGTCAGCACTGTCAATGCCACACTTGGAGTACTGTGTTCAGTTCTGGGCTTCTTAGTACAAGAGAAACATGGACATACTGGAGAGAGTAATAAAGGGCACAGAGATAATGAGTGGCCTGATGCATGTCTCCCATGAGGAAAGGCTGGGAGAGCTGGGACTGTTGTTCTCTTCAAGGAGAGAAGGCTCTGGGCTTATCAATGTATGTAAATACCTGAAGGGCGGGTGCAAAAAGGACTGAGCCAAGCTCTTTTCAGTGGTTCCCAGTGACAGGACAAGAGGCAGTGGGCACCAGCTGACGGAATGTCAGGAAACGCTTTTTTACTGTGAGGGTGACTGAGCAGTGCCACAGGTTGTGTAGAGAGGCTGAGGAGTGTCTCTCCTTGGAGATATTAAAAAAAATGTCTGGACATGGTCTTGGGCAACTGCCTCTAGGTGGCCCTGCTTGAGTAGGGGGTCTGGAGCAGAAGACCTCCAGAGGTCCTTTCCAACATCAACCATGCTGTGATTCTGTGAATAAAGTGCAACACAGGGTCCGTTAAATAAAGGTGGGACAGTGACACATCTTTGGTTCAGGTTCTTCCCTTCAGGGAGAGGAGTACAGGCTAGAAGTAGTTCCTTTGCTGCTGTATAAAACCAGAAATGCATAAATAAAACATTATACATGGATTTGCATGAGTTGTTCAATTAACATAACACCATAGATATGTCAGTTCGTTGTTGGTGTATGGTCAGAAAACATAGGTACAGACCAATGAAGACTCATTGTAGAATGAGCTCTTTTCAGTGTTTACCTGGCAAAGCTAGAAAAAGGCTTTTTTGTGTTTTAGTCTTACAAAATTCTGAACATCCAAGTGGCACAATGAACAGACTCTATTAACTCCAGAGAGAGCTTAGCCTGCAGAGGACAAAGCCCTTAAATTGTCTGTGACTTCTCAAAGACGGGGAAGCTGTTGGTCTATGTGAAGTGAACTTGTAATCAGTTTCACAGAGCTACCTGGGTACTAGGTAAGCCAGATATCTACTTTCTCCATGTAGCTGAGCACACTAGATATCTAGTTCCTGTGTGTGCATATATATGTGTGTGTGTGTATATGTATATGTATACATATATGTATAAATGTATATATAATTCCTATAAAATCTGCTGGACTTTGGCAGCCTACTTAACCTGATACCTTCAGATTCTCACGAGGTACCAATATCCACCTTTTAGCAACTTGGTATCCTTTGAGATCTGCACTTCACTGAAGAATGCTCAGTGTTCAGATCTTTAGCCATCTTTGTTAAAACACTGTTTTAGAAATTACCTTAAAAGTGAAGAGTTTTATCTGTTACTGGACTTCAGTCTGAAAACACTGTAACATTTATGTGACAAGTTTATGCATCTTCATTCTAATTGCTCTGCTTTTCTGGTTAGTGCTGAAGGAAAACAGTTTATTCTCACGAGGAAATAATTTCCTCTAAATTGAGTTCTTGTTCTCCTCTCTTTGTTAAGAGTCAGTCTTTTAAAGTGCCAGGCCTTTAAGTAAAAGAGTTTTCTTAGTGAAACAACCAATCTTGGTAAGCTAGGATGTGCCTTCCAAACACAATTGAAGAAAATTTCCTTTTTTAGGTCTGCACGGTAAGCATTTCAATGTCTATAATGGCTGAGATTTACAATCTAGCTTTCCTCAGCCAGGTGAGGTTATTTACAGAGCTCAAGTTTTAACACTTGGTAGTTTTAATACTATATGGATACTATATTGTATTTTGTGTAAGACTGTGAATTTAAGTGCATGGTGTTAAAAAGTTTTTTCTGGAAACTTTGCTGTGTATCATTTAAGTTAATATAAATGTCATGTTAAAAACTTCATACAACTCCTTGAATATTTTCCCATCTGAGTTTCTGCTTTAAGGACTCCTAATCTTCGAAATCTTCAAATTCTCCTGACAGCACAGAGAAGTTACCTTTTTTTCTGTTTTAAGGGAAGATGTGATGCAAATTCCTGTTACTTGTCCAGTGATGTAAACAGTTGATTTCTTTCCTTTTTATTTTTTTATTTAATGTTAGTTGAAAAAAGTATAT